TTTAATAGGATTCTGTGATAGGGTTTATGGAAGGCATGGACGTATATAGGGGATAACATGCTTGTGCAGTCTGTGTTTTTGTCTGTGCGTTTGGTGCATGCGGAGTGTGCGTACAGTGCGCGCGGTGCGTGCGTACAGTGCGCGCGGTGCGTGCGTACAGTGCGCGCGGTGTGCGCGTACAGTGCGCGCGATGCGTGCGTACTAGTGGGCGCGGTGTGCGCGCGCAGTGCGCGCGGCATGTGCGTACAGTGCGCGCGGTGTGTGCGTACAGTGTGCGCGGTGTGTGCGTACAGTGTGCGCCGTGTGTGCGTACGGTGCGCGCGATGTGTGCGTACGATGCACGCGGTGTGTGCGTACAGTACGTGCGCACGCACCGCGCGCACTGTACGCGCGCACTGCGCGCACCGCGCGAGCCGACCGCGTAGGGTTATTTTCAAAATTGGTTGAGTTATTTTCAAAACTGGTTGGGTTATTTTAAAATTGGTTGTTTTTTTTTTCCGCGCGGTCGGTGCGCGCAGTGTGCGCGTACAGTGCGCGCGGTGCGTGCGCACGTACTGTACGCACACACCGCGCGCACGGTACGCACACACGGCGCACACGGTACGCGCACACTGTACGCACAGACCGCGCGCACTGCGCGCGCGCACACCGCGCCCACTGTACGCACGCATGGCGCACACTGTACGCACAGACCGCGCGCACTGTGCGCGCACACCGCGCCCACTGTACGCACGCATCGCGCGCACTGTACGCACACACCGCGCGCACTGTACGCACGGACTGTGCGGACTGCACGCACACGCGCGGACCCCCCACCGCACACAGGCGGAACTCCTCACCGCACGGTTCCTCAAGTGCTCCCAACAGAATCCTATTGAATTTAGATAAGTTTAGAGTTTAGGGTGTGGAGCTTCGGGGTGTCTCAATCAAGGTGTGTTTGGGGATGCGGGGTGGCTGTAGAACCAGGAATCTTCGTTCGGGTATTTTTTCCGTCGGAATTTCTGGGAGTTTTGGAAGAGGGGCCGTGAGAGGCATGAGCGGTGGCGACCCAAATACTTCTGCTGTGCAGGCCCCTTCGACCGTTCTTGGGTTTCCTACACGTTGTGGGTCCGTGTCCCAGAATTGACGGCCTTTTTCGCTCGCGAAGCCAGTTTGGAGCTTCTTCGTAACCTGAACTAGACTTTCGGGCCGATATCAGAGTTCTCTTCGAACTACTTCCATCGCCCCGCCCCTTACAGAAATGCAAATTTATACAGGCGTACCGAGAGAATGTGTGAGGTCAACCCGACGCAGAAGATTTTGAAGAGAAGATGTGGAAAGTGAAGGACGCGCTTCATGCTTTGTCCCCCGAACAATTCGAAGATTTTCGGTATGAGATGGCAGCTGCAATGGAACTGATTGAAATGGATTGTAACCGCAGCCTGACGATCGCCAACGGGACCAAGGTCACACTGGTCGGGGTGAATCATGCCAGCAGGGCATCAGCCCAGATGGCCGCGAAGGTCGTGCGCGACGTGCGGCCAAGTGCCTTGATTTTGGAGCTTTGCAGTGAACGGCTTGACACCCTCATTCAGGGCAATGGCCACCGAGAGACCAAGGCCACAGACTGGATGAACCCAGATGAGCCCGAAGTGGTGAGGAGACAGTACAAGCACTATGCTGACGAAACTCGAAAGGCCTTTCGTGCTTTCATGAACTCTTCAGAACCGGGAGGAAAGCAAAAGCTGTTGGTCCTCGGAGATATCAAAGCTACCATAGTGGAGGAAGCGGGTATCAAAAGCATGCTGCGCCGGAGGGATGCTACCTTGGCATCCAACATTCGCAGCACGGCTTTGCTCGGCCACAAGAACATCGTGTCTGTACTTGGTGCCAATCATGTGCGCGGAGTCCCGGCAGCACAAATCTTTGTAAGCTTTGGAAGTGCTTTGGGCTTAGGGCTTAGGGCAGCTTAGGGCTTCGGGAAACACAGTCAAAAGGTGTTCGATGCTCATGCCTGGTGAAGACCATCAGCTTGCTTTGTTTCGCAATCTGCACCTTGTGGCCCTAAACCCTAAACCCTAAACCCTCGGACACTTATTGCCATGCCTGCAGTTGCGAGTGCGTGAGTCGAAACCCTAAACCCTAAACCCTTGCAGCTGAGGAGTTGAAGAGTTTTTGGAGCGCGAGCCGGGAGCCGCTGCAGAACACGGCCTGTACATCTCACAGTCCGGCTGCAAGAGACCTGACTCGGAATTCAGAGGTCTGAAAATTTCGGTTTAGGCTTTAGTGTTTAGGGTTTAGGGGTAGTGATTAGGGTTTAGGGGTAGTGATAGCGTTCCATTATGATAGTCCGTTCATAGTTGTATAATGGGCACCAAAACCCTCCTTTAGTTAGAAAGGCCAGTGTAGGATGGAAGGGTTGAGGCTTTGGTGTAGAAATTAGGCTCTCTTCACATCTAAGCAACCTGTTTTGAGCGAGCCAGTCTGCAAACAAGTGCAGCCTAAACCCTAAACCCTAAGCCCTACCCTCTGCCCTAAGCCCTAAGCCCTAAGCCCTAAGCCCTAAGCCCTAAACCCTAAACCCTAAACCCTAAACCAGGAAGCTGCAAGAGCGCCAGAAGAAGTTGAGAAAGACAGTTCCTCCGAAGAAGTGGAGAAAGCGGAAAGAGCTGTCCGATTCCTCCCGACGCAAATTGGCAGTTCGGCTCGGCTCGCTCCTCAATGCTCAGAAGATCTTGAACAGCTTGGGGAAGCTGGGCCAAGTTCACAGAGAGGCGAATTAATATAGGGGCCTGAATAATTAGCTATGCTAGTTTGGGGTTTCCTTATTCAAATTATAATATAACGGGTCCCCAAACCCTATTCTAATTATTAAGGCCCCTACTACATTAATCGTAGTGAGGGCATATGGTTTGACGTACTTGAGTACGATGTAAGTTAAATGGGCGTTTGACACACTGGGCTGGAAGAACACCTAGACATGTCGCAGATAACAAGTTATAGTCGGGATCCTTAATAGCAACATACCACCGGTCAAGGCACAGCGCTGTCACCGGGTTCTTTGTGGCTTTGGGCTTTCATGGGTTCCAAGAGAAACCCTAAACCCTAAACCCTAAACCGCAGACCCTAAACCCTGAACCCTAAACCCTAAACCCTAAACCCTAAACCCTAAACCCTAAACCCTAAACCCTAAACCCTAAACCCAAGAGCATCTGAGGAGCCAGGCGCTCGAGCCACGCAGCTGGTGCCTTGAACAACACTTAGGGTTTAGGGTTTAGGGTTTAGGGTTCAGGGTTCAGGATTTAGGGTTTAGGGTTTAGGGTTTAGGGTTTAGGGGTTTAGGGGGTAGGGGTTTAGGGTTTAGGCTTTA